GCAGGGGGGGTGGTGGTGTGAAACTGGGGGGGACACCCGTCCCCCTTCAGCGCCCCTCAAAAATAACAGCGCCGGCTTTTTTTTTTAACTTCAGAGCTTAAAAAAGGAGCAGTAAAAACAAGTTACATTTAAAAAAAAACTGCACCAGAAAAAAGCAAACGTCTTTTTTCCTGGTTTCTGCTTATAAGATTTACAGGTACTTAAAATAAACCCATGAAAAACAGACCCAGCGCGCTGGAATTTGCTAACTAGGGAGAGCAATTACCCTCCCAGGCTCCCGAGGCCGGACAGAGGACTGGACTTTTTGGAAATAAAACTCGTTGAGAGCCTCTCCCCGCTGGCTGGGGGGGGGCAGAGGTGAGGAGAAGGTGTCAGAGCCCCTGGAGGGATGCTCCTGGACCAGCCCAGGTGGGGACAAGGGTGGAAAAGTCGGTGGGACGTTTGCTTCTCGTCGTCGTGGCTTCAGCGGGGCAGATTGCGCCGCTGGTTTCACAGGAGTGAGGAGAATTAACGTGAGGTGCTGGAGTAAAAGTTGATCTGAGCTTTTTCTGGCAATGATTATGTGTAATTGATATGTGTTATATCGATTATATCACATATCAATTAACATACCGATTAACTATAACTGCTGCAATAGTTGTAAGTCAGGCCTTCTTATGAAAGTAATGCCCCAGTTTCAGATGACCTAAAAAAAGGGAAAACAATTGGATGGTCACATCCAGAGGGTAGTGGTCAACAGCTCCATGTCCAGATGGAGATCAGTGATGAGTGGTGTTCCTCACTGGTCTGTACTGGGACCAGTACTGTTCAGTTTCTTCATCAGTATCATAGACAGTGGGATCGAGTTCCCCCTCAGCAAGTTTGCGGGTGACACCGAGGTGAGTGGTGTGGTGACATGCCTGAGGGACAGGATGCCATTCAGAGGGACCTGGGCAGGCTGGAGACATGGGCCCATGTGAACCTCATGAGGTTCAACAAGGCCAAGTGCAGGGTCTGGCACCTGGGGCAGGGCAACCCCTGGTATCAATAGAGGCTGGGGGATGGAGGGATTGAGAGCAGCCCCGAGGAGAAGGACTTGAGGGTGCTGGTGGTGAAAAGCTGGACATGAGCCCACAATGCATGCTCACAGCCCAGATGGCCAACCACAGCCTGGGCTGCATCAAAAGCGTGGCCAGCAGGTCATGGGAGGTGATTCTACCCCTCTGCTCTGCTCTGGTGAGACCTGGAGCTCTGTGTCCAGTTCTGTGGCCTCCAAGGACATGGACCTGTTGGAGCAGGTCCAGAGGAGGCCACAACAGTGCTCAGAGGGCTGGAGCACCTCTGCTGTGAGGACAGGCTGAGAGAGCTGGGGACCTTCAGTCTGGAAAAGAGAAGGCTTCAGAGAGACCTTACTGTGTCCTTGTGCAGGGGCATTGGACAAGATGACCCTTAAAGATACCTTCCAACTGAAACTACTCTATGATAGACTCTGCCTCTCTCCTTTCAGTGATACATTAGTAACAAAGGATAAGAAAAGTAATGAAAAATACAGAACCAACCATAGTTAATGTAGAAACGTAAAGAATCACGTTTTCTCTGAGCTGTTCCATGCACGAGTGGAAAGTGAAGTTTGTGCGATGACATAAACACGAGAGAAGTAAAATCTGAGATGGGAATTGATTTTTATAAGACTCTGTGGTTGGGAGGTGGAGGTAGTTTCACACCAGTATTCTGAAGGAAATGATTTGTCCTTGTCAGTATCCCTTCATCATTCCTGGCTGGGAGAAGGAGCTCCTGTCTCCCACAGCAGTCGTAAAAGACCTTTGGGAAGGATGAGATTTTCCTCCTGAAATATTAAGGGACAAGTAAAAAGAATGTTAAAAAAAAAAAAGTATTAAAAATCCATTAATTGTGTTCTCCCACCAAGCAGGAGCTCTCAGCAGAGCAGTTTCCCTTGCAGATTCAGAGCTGGGACCAGCTTGGCTGCCGTGTTTGTAGATTCCCTTTGGACTAAACACTTGTAAAAGGCTTTGTCCCCTTACTGTCCCTGCCTGTCCCGATGGGAACCCCTGTTGGGAAGCGAGGAGCAGCCCCCGGCCTGAGTTGGGACAAAGGGGCTGAACTTGGGCACAGGAGGCGAGTTCGGTCTCGCAGCTTCAGCGTCTCCCCAACAATCCCTCAGCAAGAAATGCCGCTCATGTCTGTGCCTCGTGGTTATTAGCTGCAAGAAATAAAGTTTTAAAACTGTAATTAATCATTTCTAAGTAACCTCTTTTTCTACACATTTATGGCATCAATGGGTATGACTGTTTATTATGTCTTACCTATAAAATCTGACCTGTTTTATATACTCTTTATGGAAACAGTGTACAGTCATAAATTAAAAGATGGAACTGTTTTGGATATTTTACTGGTGGTCCTGTATTTTCCTGCCAAAAGTGCAGCTGGTTTAGGTTTCTCGGGATAACATTATAAAAGGCTGTATGCGTTTTGCAAGTTTATGCTTGAATTGCCAAGGCAGAGGTGGAATGACTCAACCTTCCCAGGAGCAACACGTACCAAGTGATGAATCCAAAGAGCCGGCTGAAGCTCGGTGGCTGACGCGGGACGGGGAGAAGCGGTTCTCGTTTATGGGTTTTTTACCCGGCGCTCACAATTTGAGAGGGTGGTTGTGCTGACCCCGAGAGGCTACAGCCCGTGTCCGTCTGTATGTGATGGGCTTTGGGTGCAGAACTTGCCAAGAACCTGGCCTTGGACCTGCCTTAGGTGGGGTGCAGGAGCTATGGGGTTACAGCGGTGAATGGAACCATTCAAGCCCCCTGGAGCAGACACCTTGAACGGGAGCCCTGGGTGGGCAGGGCTGGGTTTGAGCCCCCAGAAGGAGCTAAAGGGGAGCCTGTTTCAACCTCAGCTCATCGGTCTGGATGGTCTGCTGTCAAATTAGCTGGCTCTGCAAATGGGTGGCCATGCTTAATTAATCGTGATGTCCAGAGGCCTCTTCAGCCCGAGTGTTGATGACAGGCTCTTACAGATCCAATTCCCTGCTGTCGGTGGGCTTACTCCCGAGGAAGATAAGCCCAGGAGCAAAAAGTTCAGCCCCGTTGTCACCAGAGCAGCTGGCACAGTCAGCTCAGGGGAGCACCAGCCACAACTGGAATCCTGCATCCAGCTCTGGGCTCCCCAGTTCAAGAGAGACAGGGAACTGCTGGAGAGTCCAGTGTAGGGCAACCAAGATGATGGAGGGATTGGAGCATCTCCCTGATGAGGAAAGGCTGAGAGAGCTGGGGCTCTTTAGCCTGGAGAAGAGAAGGCTGAGGGGAGACCTTAGTAATGCTGACAAGGATCTAAAGGATGGGTTGAAGGAGGATGGAGCCGGACTCTTTTCAGTGGTTCCCAGTGACAGGACGAGGGGCAACGGGCACAAGCTGGACCATGGGAAGTTCCACTCCAATCTGAGGAAGAACTTCTTTGGGGTGAGGGTGGCAGAGACCGGGAAGAGGCTGCCCAGGGAGGGTGTGGAGTCCCCTTCTCTGGAGATCTTCAAGCCCCACCTGGATGCTCCTGAGTGATGTGCTCTGGGCAGCCCTGCTTTGGCAGGGGAGTTGGACTGGATGGTCTCTAGAAGGTCCCTTCCAACTCTGACAATTCCATGATTGTGAGCCGACGTGTTCACAGGTGGCTCACAGGAGGTGGCTCCATCTCCTTCCTTCCTCCCCCAGAGCAGCCTCGGCCTCCCCGTGCCGTGAGCCGTGAGCCACGCGGTGTGTGTTCCCTCTCTAAGGGAAGGCTTCTCTTTGTTCCAGGTACCTCAACCATGTGCGAGCCGTTTCTCCGCAGGATCTCGCTGGGGGCTACACTTCTTCTCTGGCTTGTCACCGCGCCTTACAGGATGCTTTCAGTGGCCTTTTCTGGTACCCCAGCTAACATCAGCCCGGGACCAAGGGACGCCCAACAGGAGGGGAGAGCAAGTCAAGCCGGCAAAGGTTGGGTAGATTTGCTGCCATCTGCTCCGCAGCTAAGCTCCAGTCACTTGTCTGTGTCAAAGCAGCTGTGTTTAAGTGTTAAAGGAAAAAAAAAAACACACACACACACAAAAAACCCAAAAAAAACCAAACCAAACCCATCTGCACCAGAGTTTTGTGAAATGGTAGATGGGTTTCTGTGGAGGGGGAAACTCGTTAGCCATGTGGCACTTTGCTGAGGGAGGCTGAAGCAATAAGCCACATCTAATGGAAGATGTGAATAACTCAGCTGTATATGTTTGAGGTCTAAAGAAATACACTTGTAAATTTTTTTTAAATAAAGCCAGACTTTTTTATTGAAGTTTGTGGTTTTGCTCTCATTGCAGGCTTTTATTTGCACAAGCATTTAAATGCCATTTTGATTATAACATTTAGTGTCAATATTCAAGCCTGCATTTTCTTCCCATAAAACTAGTTTCCCCAGTTCACACAAGTGGGTTTTTCCTCCTGCCAGCTGGATGAGCTGAGAAACCCTGGAACTCTGCTGACACAACTCTTATGCAGGGTCCTTCCTGGTGTCACTTGGTTCTTACCTTTGTCTGGAAAACAAATCTTTAGCTCAAAATCTTTCAACTTTGCTCCTGTTGAAGCGATCTAAGAAGCCTCGATACAAGTCTCGGTCATTAAAGTAGTCAAAATTGGCTCAGTTTGGTTTTCTCTCCTGTTTAGCTCTGTTTGCAACTTCGCTGTCGCACTTTCAGGAGGTTCCTTAGGCAGGACCATCCCTTTGTCTGGCTTTTGGGACGACCCTTTCCGTTTAATCTGCTGCTTTTCCATATTCCTTCCCTTCTCCTTGTGGTGGGAGGTAGACTGATTGCAGCAGAGATGGGCTTCCTGGGGCAGGATCGCTCTTTGCTGTGAGTGTCTGTAAACTGCAGGAGTCTGGAAACTGCCCGGGACAGGCAGAACCTCTGGAGGAAAGCCTGGACCACGTTTTATGGGTCACCCGTTAACTGTTGCTGAATACTGCTCCGAGGAGCGCGCTGAATGGATGTATTTTTTCGCTGCATTGTAATAAAGAGAAGAATAAGCTTTCTGCCAGACTCGGAGCTTCCTTTGTTGAGGCAAAGTGGAGGGAGGTGTCAAAATTCCCATCGCCCTTTCTCTGAAATGCTGTTGTTTGTGCCCAAACTAGTTGCCGACGGGTGCTGGTGCCCGCGGGTACAGTCGCACACGGGTACAGTCGCACGGAACAGGCTGTAGCCTGTGGAGCACTGCTGGGTGTAGCCACACAACACTGTGTGTAGCCACACAATGCATCACAGGGACCGCTCGCAGCCCGGCCCCGGGACGAGTCCCGCTTTCTGCTGGTGGCCCTTCTCCTTTCCTTGACTCAGAGTAGATGGCTGCCACCACCGCCCCGCTGACCTGTCTCCAAACAACCAGACGCTGTGGGAATTTGTTCCCTCTGTCACACGGAGGTCTCCTCTCCCCCGTTGCAGGACAGCACAGTCCCACCAGGATTCCGCTTGGGAATAGCAGGGAATAGCAGCAACCATGGGGAGGTGTATGTGTACAATTTCAGGCTCATTCAGGCGGGTGAAGACACACCTCACCCACCATCGGCTTCACGTTCAGGTGGTTACGCCTCAGGTCACTGCCCTAAGGGATGGAGAACTGCATCTGTATCAGCGGTTGCTGTTTTATGTAGAAGGGTTACACACAGAAGTGGCAACTGCACAGAAATATGGAAAAAACCCTGGTTCGGGGTACAGCTCCGTATCTAATCTGCTGCCTGCCGCTCAAACTACAGCTCTGCTGCTAAAATTACACCGGCATTTAATCCTCATGTGGACAAAACTTCTAAGAACTAAAAATCCTTCCCTGCCCCGGGATGCTTCAGTCACACGCTTGCTCCAAAGCACCAGCTGTGTCACCAAGGGCAAGGCTACAGCATCAAGCCGCTGAGCAAAACAGCTACAGGCCTTATCGGTTGTTTGGGCGAGACCCCAAATGTGGAGGTGCAGCCCCCAGCGATGGAGCCACAGCAGCAGAGCCAGGGAGGGTGAGGACATCTGGTCACCGAGCTGCTGGGGTGAGCGTGGGCTTGGGCTGAAGGAAGACACCTGAGGAGCAGCGGGGGAGGCAGAGGGACAGCAGAGGCACAACCGCCGTGCGAGAGGAGGGGGCTGTCCAGCCAGGTGCTGGGTTTCAGGCCGGCGCTTCAACGCAAGCCTGTGCTCAATCTGCAAATGTTGGCATTAGAGTCTTTCCTGCTTTAACGGGGGCAAACGCTAAGCTGGGAGTCAACCAATCCCTAACTAAATCTCAGCGTTAAAAAGCATTTATTACTCCAAAAGCCTAGGAACAAGGATAGGTGGCTACTTGGGCCTTTTTGTATCTTGGGTTAAGGTTTCGGAAGGTTATCTTGCTTACACAAGAGCTGTTTGTGCGTTTGCTAACAAGTGACCCCATATTCTTAAACACCAAAACCATTTGTCAAAGAGAATCCAAGGCAAGGGTTCTGCAAGTCATCCTGCCAGACCTGGCAAAACATAACATTCTGCTTTTGCCGCAAACCGCACGTGATGGAAGTGACACAGCAGAAAACCATCCCGGTCTCTGTCACTCAATTCTCACGGGGCGCGAAACAGTAGAGAGCAGAAAAGTACCAGAACGCATTTATTACCAAAAAAAAAAAGTGAAGTTTTGTTTTTGATAGTAACAACAATTTCCATCTGCTCATTGATCTCACAATTAAAAGAAAAAAAAAATAACAAAAAAGGTAAATGCAGGAAGCAAGGCTCACAAAGGAAAGCTGCAACACACGTTACACAGCACCTGAGGCGGGTGACACAGGTCTGCTTCAAATAATCCAAGGGATCCAAGCCAGAGGGAACCTACGGAACCTTCTAAGGTTTCTAATTTCTAAGGTAGTTACCGCAGTCTTCAACTCAGCAACTTTTCTTCAGAGCAGTCTCTGCTGGTACACAGACGCTTAGGGGCTGGTTTTGCTGGAAGAAGGTTAGAAAAAGCAAGTTGTTTAATGTAGAGTAAACAGACAGAACTAAACCACAACTTCACGCTTAAGGGATTTAACAGGAAGAGATGAGAGTTAAAGTCAGGATTAACAGTCAGGAATGGAAACTGTTACAGCAATAATGGGGGATCTTGACTAAATGCCAGAAAGGACTTACAAAAAAACCTGTATTGAGCTACACTTTGACCTACGTCTCAGTGCTACCCAACAACGGTGGAAAAATAAGTTTCATGGCATTAAAGCTTTATCAAAACCTCTATTCCTCCAGTTCGTGTCACTGCAGAGAGAAAGGCTCCTCCCTCTCCCCTCTTGTCACGTACTGCAAAGCCCAAGATCCCTGAAACCAACTACCTTCTACCAGTACTTCAAGAAAAGATCAATTATGAAAAGAAACAAGTAAATAAATATCAAATTCAACATTAAAGATCTCTAAATTGCACAGAACCAGATTCTGCTGATGTAGTGACTCCAGAGCTAAAGTGAGCCTGTGCAAGCCTAAGGGAGAAGGTCAGAACTGGGACTTGGGAGTTCACCACCGTTCTACCCTGGGAGAAAATGACGCTCCGGTTCTTAATTTTTAGCGAGCAGATACGTGTGCTTGACGTGAGACACCCCACCCTGCCCCAGTAGGAATCTAACACGTAACGGGTCTGGTTTATGGCCTGTGGGATGATCCTATCCAGTGCACCATTTTGCCTGTGGAGGCTCATGCTGGGATCAGAGGAGCGGAGCCGCTGTCAGTGAGAGCGCACGAAGCCCTGCAGCTGCTGCACACGTGTGGGCACGGGGTCCTGCTTGCCACCTCCTCCCTCACAGCCAGACCCAGAATGGCCGTCACGAGGCTGAGGTGGCCCACAGGGCTGGCGAGGTGGGACCAGCGTGAGACAGTGAAAGGTTTTGCCTGAAATCCAAGTGCCACCCGGGAGGCTCGTTCCTTACCTTCATCAGGGCAGGGCCTCTTGTAGAGCACGTCCGCCGGGATCTGGAAACTGATGCACAGCATCTCCTTGTTTGGTGCAACGTTTCTCACCAGGTAGGTGGAACAGCGTCCATCCAAGGAGGTTCCCAGTGAAGCTTCCGCTCGTTCTTGAATATCTTTGGCGGGGTCGTCATGTTTGGAGAAGCCGTAGCAGTGCACGGTGGGAAGGCCAGCAGTGCTGCACGGCTCTCCCACCAAGAGATGCCTGAAAACATCTAGAAATTCGATAGCCAAAGCTGGCAAATTCATGACTACGTGAAAAGAGGTTTTCTGTTCTTCTTTCAAAAGCGGGAGCTCTTTACTTAGTTCTTCTCTTACTGGGCCCAGGAGGAAGTCCCTGCCATCCATGTTGAATGCTTTTATTTTGTTGTCTACTTTGTTTAGTTTGCAGTTGTGCAGGAGCCAACGGTAGGATTCAGGATTGAGATCGTTTGCAAATACACGGCACCGTTTCTTTGCTGCTGGAATAGCAAAAGGTCCAATCCCAGCAAAGACATCGAAGAGGGCATCACCGGGCTTTAAAAGCTCAATGATACGGCCATGCTCTGTGGAAAGACGTGGGTTCCAGTAGACCTTGGAGAAGTCCAATTCATATGCAATATTATTTTCTTTGACCTGAAAGTCCAAAACATTTGCTTAAGCCTCTGTGTTCAAATTCCAGGCAAGTTTCGGCATTATCAGTAATTAAGACTGCTAAAAAACGAGGTCTTTTATCAAAAAGTAATGCATACATTGGCATTTGTCCCATTAGTAGTACACATGAATCTCGTATAAACAGATCTGCTCATCAGAAATAGCCATAAGGAATGTTCTAATTGTCAATCCAGATGGCTGGCTTATGCATGTCTCAATCATCAGGTGGAAATAAAGCAGCAACTTAAAATGACGATAAAAAAAATAAAGTCTGAGGCTCTTCCAGAGCTTTGTGGCCAGCTGACAACTCCTTTATTGAAAGCAGACCTTGGGAAGATGCCTCAAGCCCTCCTTAGCAGAGTCCACGCAGTAAATAAGCGTTTGAGAATGATACAGCACAAGAATGGCAAGAGTCAGACACATTCAAAGCCACAGGGAGCCAATTCTGCAGCTTGAAAAAATACTGTGCTTTATCTCTCAAGGTGACAGAGTCTGGAAACTGATCCAAACCCAAACTTTGGGATGACCGCTGTCTTAAGAACAGACCCAGAAAGAAACAGTATTCGAGCGGGATGCAAGATAATACTGACTTTGCACCTCCACAGTTGAATTGTGTGACTCTGAAGTAAAGCAATTTCAGATCCAAATCACTGCATCATTTGTTTTGCCGGCAAGAAACATCCTGAAATCTCTCTGCACTCCTCGGTGTGCAGCTCCGTGGTATGCAGGCTTAATGAGCTAACACCAGCTGCATAATATTTGATTATTGCTTCTGCCTCTACGATTCAAGTGCCTTCTCTGTGCACGTACAGGATGTTCTACCAAGCTATTCAACTTTTTTATTTGATAATTTAATGTTTTCTCTTCTAAAAGCATGAAACTGCTAACAGCTAGGAAAAATATTTTTTTGGTCAAACTAGTGGCCAAGTTTCCAGCTAAAGACAAGAAACCCTACGTGAAGAATAGTTGGCAGTTACATAGTGCTTTACACCTGAAAAACATCAAAACAGGAGAGATGAGGTTTGTCTTGCTGCTGACAGAAAGGAAAAAGGCACAGGCAAAATCTTGCCTAAGTTGCAAAGCCAGTGAGATTTAAAAACAGTCTTGGGTTCAGTACCCGCCAGTCTACAAGGCTTGGTGAGATTAAAAACCAGCGTTTTCTTAGATCAAATCCACTAAGTAGTTTGGCTTCAGAGTGAGAAATACCCCTCGCTACAAGTTTGTAATTAATATCTCTGTAAGAAAAGTCTACTTCAGCGGCTTTTACACATCATTAAAATCTAGGCTGTAAACTTGAAAGAATACGTTATCTTCATGATCCTGATGGTTGTGAGCTTGGTCTTGGCAGACCAGGACAAATGAACATAGAACATGCAAAGGAATGGTCTTAGTAGCAGTCTTTCCAGTAGGTGCCTTTGGGTTTGAACATATTAAATTAAAAATAACAAGAGAAAAAAAAACCCTGTACCTTGGTTACCAGGTTGCTCTCTCCAGCAAGCACTTCCATTTGAAAATTTCTGTACGTGCTGTCAATAATACTGGTTTTATTCACTGCACAGGTGATTCCTGGATTCTTGTCAATTATAACCTGGCCTGAAAGAGAGGGCAAAAGATAATCCGGTTAAGGGACTACAACTTCTTCATGTTCTACAAGAGATACAAACGCTGTTGTTTACAGCTAAATTAACACAAGTAAGCATGTACTAGAGCAACCTTCCTCTAATGATTCAGGGTTGCAGGTGTGACATCTTTCTAAGGCACATACTTTATCCTGAGCCAATGCTCAGTGAAGTGAGACCACAATTAAAAGGAGAGAGCCATCCCTTCTGTGCACAGCCACAGCAGCAGCACAGAGCTGGTTCAAGTCAAAATATAAACCAAAGTGCTCAAAAGTTTTCTTCGTACAAGTAATAATTTACCAGTAGAATAACTGTTAAAAGGATCTTTTTAGCAATATACACAATATATTAATTGTTTTTTTGAGAAGAGTTGTTTTACCTACCAATCAAATATCTGTACGGTAGCTGATGATCTCGAAGATTCAAATGAGCTATGTGACCAACACGGCTAAATCCAGAGGTGACATCTTGACCTTCGGGAAGGACCGCTCGTAGGATCTCCTCCGACTTGAAATTCTCGTAAGTCAGCTCCAAGTTATACTTGGACACCTCAGGACAAACATTAAGTCGTTTTAATACCTCTTGTTCCGATTCTCCCAATGAGAATTCTGGTATTTTATGAGGATCCAGAATAACGAGTCTACTCTCCTCATCTTCTGGATCCTCAACCACGCGCTTTAGACCGGGACGCTGGAGGACTGTATGTTTTAGGGACTTCAGCAATGTATTTACAGTTTCTTTCTTGACTTTAAGAACTGGAACAACAACTGTCCTTTTAAAAGCTTCCCTGTTGAGTAGTGTCATCCCACGCACTTCGGGACATGGTGAATACAGTTCTAGATTAGCCTTCTCCTCCACAGTTTCAGGCATTGTAAAAAAACTATTTTTTTTAACAACTACAAAGCACCCAGGTATCCTGCCAGAATATTGCGTCAATAGCATCCAAACTGCTGGAAATGATGTATTTGATGCAGCTGTCCTCAAATGATTATTTCTCAGTAGTCTGGCAGAGTATCCAAATCTCCATAAAGTCCTAGAAGAGAAATTATTCATTTTATAGACATTAGGTAATCATTCCATTAAAAAGGCTGCAAATCACACAGATTTGCTGTTCTCGTAAACTAGAATTTCCATCTGTACCAAACAACCCACAACAGTTTAGTACAGCTCTTTGTTATGAATTACAAACTACGGATTTCTGTTCTTTTACAAATGTCTTTTTAGATTTAAACATTAACTAATTTTAAGCACTGAAATAATCCCCCCTTGCCAAAATACAGTGACCTCCCTTTGTTCTAATAAATGTGATATTGATCCCAGTAAGCCAAGTGGAAAAATTTCTGTCTTGCTCCTACTGGTGGAACCCTTCTGCCTCTGATAAAATTCATTACCAAGCAGTGGTTGCTAGAAAACAGTTATTAGCAGGAGTGGTCATAATCACTCTTCAGCGATTTCTGCCTCCTATACCCAGTGGTAAGGAATTACACACTCTGTAGTGTCTTTGCTCCATGAGCCGCATGCCAGAAAGACAATGAAATGCAGAATTCCCCTAAAGGTACAAGGAAACATTAGTAATGTCTGCTCAAGTAGCCAAACCCCTCTCCACAGTTCATTCACAGGATGGAGACTTGAAAAGTAGCGTTACGCTTCTCTAAATGGTTTCCTCCACTAGAGCCAGTCCAAAGGGGCCCAAATTTTCTGATTCTGCATTGGCTGCTCGAAGGCAGAAACCAATGATTTAGATAGTGTGTTAGGCTGACATTTCTCCTGACTTCTTAGAAATTTTAAGATTGGGGGTTGGTAAGAGAGGTGCAAAGTAGCTCTGAAAGGAAACTGGTTCTCTTTCCCGCCTCAGACATCTACACCCCAACTAGAGACCACAGCCCTCCGTCAGGGTAACGAGCCATGCTGTCTCTTCTTCCAAAAAGGAGCTGTGCTTGACCCTTAGCAGAGCTGGTCCCCGACAGACCCCAGCTCCTCGCTGTGGCTCCCTACTCCTCCAAGCCAGCTCACTTCCCTATGCCACGGTTTTGGCAAAGCACACCTCCTTTCCCTGTTGACTCAAAAATAAACATCACATTTTTCACATCTGCCACAGAGAGGAAAGTCTTCATCCAGAGGCCAGAGCATCCCAGTGTTTTTCTTCGGCATTCCCCTTCTCTCTAGCTGGAAACTGCTGGCCTAGCTTGCCCAGGCTTCTCAGTACGAGTTAATCCCACAAGATAAAAGCCCCCACGCCAGGTCTGGTTGGAGATCACCCGTCACCAGAGGAATAAAACCTTCCCAACATTCTCTCTGGAAAGACCTGCCTTTCCCCCCATGACCGAGGTCCCACCGAGGTCCCCGTCTGCCCCATTCTTCCCTCAGAGGAACCTGAGGTGAAGCGGGGGGTGCTGCTGGGGGGCTGCTACCCACTCTGCCCGGCCCCAGCTCCACACTGGGCACAGAGACCCCCGGGCGGGTCCCATCATCTTTGTTACACAGACTCCTTTCCCTTTGGATTGCTATCAGGGAATTGTTGGGAGTTGGAAGGGACCTTCTAGAGACCATCCAGTCCAACTCCCCTGCCAAAGCAGGGCTGCCCAGAGCACATCACTCAGGAGCATCCAGGCGGGGCTTGAAGATCTCTAGAGAAGGGGACTCCACACCCTCCCTAGGCAGCCTCTTCCAGGGCTCTGCCACCCTCACCCCAAAGAAGTTCTTCCTCAGATCTGAGTGGAACTTCCCATGGTCCAGCTTGTGCCCGTTGCCCCTCGTCCCCACTGATAAGAGCAGGTCGCAGAGGTGCCGGCCAGGCCTCACCCAGGGAAGAGAGACGCCCGTCAGAGCGAGGGCCTCTCCCCTCCCCGAGGAGAGCGCTTGCTGGCTGTCGCCGCCTCAGGCCCGTCGCCGGGGGGCTGCAGGCCCGCTCAGGCCGCGGGGGCCCGTAGGCCGCCGCCATGGCCGCGCGGTCGCCATGGCAACACCCCCCCCACCGGCTCCCCCTTCACCCTCACCTCATGCCGAGCCCTGCCGCGCGCGCCGGCGCCCCTCCGCGTC